ACCAGAAAACCGGAAGTGGCGCTGTAGCTCAAGTGGTAGAGCGCTCTCCTTGAGCTGAAGAGCTGAGGGACAGCGCCCAGGCCCAGAGTTCAAGCCCCACGGCCGACAAAATCAAAAAAAAAAAAAAGAAAGAAAAGTCTGGAGGTCTGGACATTCGGCAACCACATGAGCAGGGGTAATATAAGTTCAGACTGGAATTGCCAATGAGAATTCTGCTACTGTGGGTTGCCAACACAAAACTGTCTTCTTGAGACTCCAAAGTTCTTGATATCCTTCCTGCTGTGGAAACAAACACTGTAGGAAACTCAAGCAAATGTTGAGTCACATATTGGCCAACTACCATTAAACTGTCAGCTCCTTGATTTCAGACCTCTGGCCTCCAGAACGGCAAGAGACTAGACACCTGCTGTTCAAGCCACCCAGGCCTGAGGTTGCTTGTTACTCTTTCTGCTGGGTATCTTGGAGATTTTGAACAATCAACCCACTCTCTTCCTCAGGGTCTTTGCCCATGTTAGCTGCTCTACTGAAGCCTCTTTGCCATGTTTTTGTTCTATTTTGTTTTTGTTTGGTTTTTGGCCCGTCACGGGGCTTGAACTCGGCCTGGGCGCTATCCCTCAGCTCTTCAGCTCTTCTAGTGCTCTATCACTTGAACCTCAGTGCCATTTCCAGTTTTTCTGGTGGTTGCTTGGAGATAAGAGTCTCACAGACTTTCCTTCCTGAGCTGGCTTTGAACCATGATCCTCAGATCTCAGCCTCCTGAGTAGCTAGGATTACAGGCATGAGCCACCAATGCCCAGCTCTTTTTGCTTTTGTTTTTGTTTTTTGGTATTAGTTTTCTGGAATTAGTTCCATGTCATCTCCACAGAGAGGCTACATTGAGCCACCTTCCTGCAGCAGCCCCCTCCTGCTATGCTCAGCCACTCTGTGCTGCGTTATAATTTCCCTGAGGATGAGAACAGCATCTTTTTGCGGTGCCTCCTGTACCTGCTGGGACAGTAGTGAATTCATGATCAAAAAAGGACACAGAGGGGCTGGAAGGTGGCTCAGTGGTAGAGTGCTGGCCTTGCATGCACGAGGCCCTGGGTTCGAATCTTCAGCACCACATAAGCAGAAAAAGCTGGAAATGGTGCTGTGGCTTAAGTGATACAGTGCTAACCTTAAGCTGAAGAGCTGAGGGATGGCGCCCAGGCCCAGAGTTCAGGCCCTACGACTACTACCACCACCACCAAAGGACATGGGAGGGAGGAGGGATAAAAGAAGGAAGCCCATAGCACCTCCCTTTGGGCTGAACATCAGACATGGCACTAGGGTTGGGGTAGAGCCTAGAGCTCATTCCTGGTCATTTCTCCTGCAGGATCATTTGGGCTTGACTGGTCAGCTGCCAAGGCACTGGTATCTTGAGCTGGGCATGCAGCCTCTGGACGTGGCATGGTAGCAATAGTAAGTGCCTGTTCCCAGGAGAATTTGTGTCCGGAGAGGGAAGGCAGACCCTGAAAACGTATGCACATTAGCAAATGATGTGATTTCAATGTGGCCTGATGCTGCAAGTAGCGTAAAACAGGACACAGTATGGTGGTTAGGGAGGACTTGACAGGAAGGACTTGGAGGAAATGACAGCTGAATTGGACACCCAGAGACCCCATGTATATATTATAGGGAATGATTTCAAGCAGAAAAGTCATCAAACATCGTGAGCCAGGCTAAGACCTGTGGCTGGGCTGCAGTGGGAATGAAGACATAGGAAGGGAAAACAGGGGTCACACTTCCAGGTCTTACAGACTAGAGCAGGGGTTTGCTGTTTGTTTCCAGAGCCATGAGCAAGCCCTGGAGGATCTTAAGCAAGGAGCAAATGTCTAGGTTTTTCATTTTCCTTTTTTGCAGCATGTGGTGTGCATGATGAACTGCAGGGGGCAGCACTGTAGCTAGCTGGGAGGCACTGGGAAGGCTTGGTGCTAGCTATGGCAGCGGAAATGGTGAGAAGGGGGCTGTTTTTTGTTTGTTTTGTGCTTGTTTTGGAGGTGAGACTACTGGGCAGGGTGAGGGGACAGGGGAAAGACAAATTGGAATACAGTCACACCTTAGGGGTGTGTGTGTGGCTGTGTGTGCAGTCTGTTCCTGAGAATTGAACCCAAGGCCTGATAACTGTCTCTTGGCTCCCCTCCCCCCACCCCCAGGACCTGGTGGTTGAACTCAGGATACTGTCCCTGAGCTTTTCTGCTGAAGGCTGGTGTTCTACCACTTGAACCACAGCTCCACAATTAACAGGTGGTTAATTGGAGAGAAGAATCTCTGCCTGCACTGACTTTGAATCTTGATCTTCAGATCTCAGCCTCCTGAGCAGCTAGGATTACAGGCGAGAGCCACCAGCACCTGGTTACCCCTTAGTTTTTGTCCCGAGCAGCTGGATGACTGATGGTCTGTCCTGCTGTGACAGGATACCTAGGAAAGGACTAGATGGGGGTGGGGTGGAGGGGTGGGGAGGGTGGCATGGCGGGGGGATCAGTGCCCACCTTGGCCATGAGACATTCCCCAGGGGAGGTGCTGGATAGTGGAGAACAGAAGCCTGGAGTTCAAGGGCAAAATTTTGGCTGGAGTTAAAGACAGTCTGTGTAGTTGGAATGACAGCCACAGTGGGAGAATATAGAGATGAAGGTGATCAGCCCATAGGAGGAGGAAGAAAGATTAAGGTGCCCGAGAGGGATTAGCCAGTGTGTGGGAATAAAACTGGCAAAGGATGATTTTCAAGACGTGGTAGTGGCCAAGTGTGTCAGAGGCCGATGGGAAGCGAGGCCAGGGACTGGACCTTTGGCTTCAGCAGAATTTAGGTCACTGCTGATCTGGATAGGAACCATGTCATCTAAGGAGGGGTCAAAAGGCAAATGATAGCAGCAAGAATTCCGATGGAAGGGAGGAGATAAAGCAGCAGGCAACACAGCGGGCAACATCAGGGTGGGCATCATCTGTATGTTATAGATGGAAGTTAGACTTTCAGGAAGAGAAAGGCCACACAGCTAGGCCTGAGTCTGGGACCCAGAGTCCAGCTGGAGAGTGGACAGAGGTGACGGCTCTGTAACGTGCTGGGAGGAGGCAGCGCAGGGTCTGGGCAGCAGGTGGATTGGATACATTTTTGCTTTTTGTGCTAGTACTGGGGCTTGAAGGTAGATCCTGGACACTCTCCCTTAGCTTTTTTACTCGTTGCTGGCACTTTACCACTTGAGCCACACCCCCACTTTCAGCTTCTTGCTGACTAATTAGAGATAAGAGTCTCATGGACTTTCCCACCTGGACTGGCTCCAAACCCAAATCCTGAGATCTCAGTGTTCTGAGTAGATAGGATTATAGGTGGAAGCCACCCTCGCCTGGCTTGGGCAAGATTGTTTTTTTCTTTTTTTTTTGGTTAGTCATCAGGCTTGAACTCTGGGCTTGGACGCTGTCTCTGAGCTGTTCAGCTCAGAGCGCTCCACCACTTGAGCCACGGTGCCACTGCCAGTTCTCTGGTGGTTAATTGGCGATAAACATCTCACGGACTTTCCTGCCTCGATCCTCAGATCTCAGCCTCCTAAGTATCTAGGATTACAGGCATGAACCACAGGGTGCCCCGCTAAGATTCTTAATTGTTGTTATCATGCCTTCCTTCTTTGAAGCAGCAGCAACAGCTAAAAACAATTTCAACAGGTTTTACTGTTCTGTTTTCATAGTTTCCAGCAATCTATTTTGACAGCACTCAACTTACTGGTGAACTGCTCATCCATCCACCCAACTAGCCAGGCCTCAGCTTTTCTCATCCAGTCAATGCCCAGCACCAGACAAGTTCTACCTAGGCATGGCATGTGGGCTTCAGCTCCTGATGGGTCTGGCAGGTGTCCAGGCTTTCCTGCACCCATCATTTGTCTGTCCCCTGGGTCACATATGGGCCATGGGTGTGGCTCATGTCTGAGTCCTTCTAGCCTCTTTCTCCACTGCAGAGCTGAAAATATATAAATTGCCGCTGATCAAAGTTCACATGGCAAGTCTTCAATAAACAAATCCCAGTCAGCATAGCTCTTAAATTTACAAAAGCAAAACTTGCACATTGTAAAATACAAAACAAAAAACATGAACAAGACCATTTTCTCTTTGAGGAAAGGGTCAGGGTCTCACCATATAGCCCAGAATAGCCTGGAATTGGCAATTCCAGCTTCAGCCTACAAAAGTGCTAGGCACAAACACCAAAGCATATAAAACCCAAAGTCCTCTTGCTATTGGATCCCTGGTCCCTGTCTCTCTGGGGCCAACACCCATGGTAGTGAATCGTGCATGCCTTGCAGTGGCTCCTAGCCTTCTAGATCTTACCTTAGGTATTTGCAAGAAGAAAACATTCACACACAAATTGAGGCTGCGGTTTTGCCATTCACCTTTTTGTTTTGAACAATAAATGATAACACAGTCCAGGTGGGTGCTACAGAACCACTGTGTGTGTGTGTGTGTGTGTGTGTGCCGGGCTTGGGGCTTGAACTCAGGGCCTCAGTGCTGTCCCTGCGCTTTTGTGCTCAAAGTGAGTGTTTACCACTTGAGCCACAGATTCACTTCTAGCTACTTCTGGTAGTTAACTGAAGATAAGAGTCTTATGGACCTTCCTGCCTGGGCTGGCTTTGAGCGGCAATCCTCAGATCTCAACCTCTGCATAGTTAGTATCACAGGTGTGAGTCACTGGTACCTGGGTCCACTTGTTCGAGTGCACATGGCTTATTTGGATAGGATCTTGTCCATTTGTCCATCAATGGGTGTTGATTTCAATGCCCTGAGCACAGAATTTGGAGGTAGATGCTGCTCAGATTTCTTTTCTTTTTTTTTTTCCTTTTCTTTTCTTTTTGTTGGTTATGGGGCTTGAACTCAGGGCCTGGGCACTGTCCCTGAGCTCTTTTGCTCAAGACTAGCACTCTACCACTGAGCCACAGCACCACTTCCAGTTTTTGAGGAGTTAATTGGAGACGAATCTCACAGGGACTTTGCCTGGACTGGCTTTGAACCTCGATCCTTAGCTCTCAGCCTCCTGAGTGAGTTGTCAGCGTCTGGTGCTGCTCAGATTTGATTGCCAGGTTACGTGCATCCAATCGATGTGTTCCTGGATGTCCAGGCCAGGTGTATGTGCATAGCTTTGTAAACATCAGCAGCATGAACAGAGTGCCTCATCACATCTCTTCCCTTCCCACCAGCAGTGGACAGGAGAGACATACAAGTAGTCATTCCTGTTACTCGGTCCCTGCCACACTGGGCATCAGGATGATAGCTCCTGTCCGTCAAGCTGTCATTTGTGATGACAGGAAGGTGGCACATGATATCCAGTCCAGGGATGGGCCTTCTCCTCCAGGTCTCCAACACTCAACCTCCCCAGATAGGCCACTTAGCAATGAAGGCAACACCAGCCTATCTTCTCATTGGTCACCCACACTGACACCCCAACCAGTCCCCATCGGCCACCTCGGGTACCATCAGCAATCACTGCTCTTCCACTGGGTTTCTTGTTTCCCTAGAAGTTCCATTCTGGCATCTTTGAGGATAGCTGGGCCATCTCCCCAGCCCAGCTCTGCCACCTGCCTGAGGCAAGGATCAGGTGATTGTGCCTAGTGGTCCTGCATGAACCCAGATACACTGGTAAGAGGGTCACCTCACTGCATGGTACAGGCCAGCCTCCCTGGTTATAGTCCCCTGCCAGTGGGGCTGAGCAGCAGTGCCCAGAATCTAGGCAGGCCCGAGGAGCTGGGTCAGATCTGTCACCAGTTGTCCTCTCCAGGGGATTCCAGACTAAGGCTGATCAAGAACACAGGAGGTCCCACTCCACACATGCCTGGGTGCCCTGTCCAGTCCCGTGTCACGTCCAGCCCCACCTTCTCCCAGCAGGCTGTTTCCTGCTGTCCCTCTGTTTCCCCCACACAGAGAAACAGTCACACGTGGACTGAGTTCTGTGTCTGAGGAAGAGCAGAGTGAGGACCTGGGAGGGAGGAGGACCCTTGTATCACTGGAGCCCATTTCCAGCCCCAGGAGCTGAAGGACAAAGCATTCCCACCATGTGCTACAGATGGGATAAGTTGTCCTCCCAGCTGATGGCTCATTACCACAAGTGGGATTTGGGCTCAATTACACCCCCCCCCCCCCCCCAGTGGTGCCTGAGCTCACCTGCTGCTACCTCCTCCCAGCCAGAGGGCAACTCAGCCCATCAGCAACACTTTAGTGAGGGCATGTGTTTGGAGTGTGTGCAACAGGGTCTTCTCAGTTCACAGAGTGGGGAGGTGGCTCAGAGCTCATGCAGTCCAGTGTCCCAGGGGTACAGAAGCGCCTCGCCTCTGTAATACATCAGAGCAGCTGTCCAGTCAAGATGCGCTCTGCTGGCAGAAGAGCTCATTCCACTGCCAGTGCCTCCAGCCTACTGGCCTGTTCCTGACGGCAGCCTCTGACTTGAGGTAGGAGCAGATACCAGCTCTCAAGACAAGAGGCAGCTGGTAGGGAACAGGGGCAGAAAAGCAGTAAGTTAAATTCCTGAAGGACCAGAGTTGTGACAGGATGGGTGGGCGGGGACATCCTGGGAGTCCCAGAAGTCTCTGGCTTGCTCTAGAAGGCACCAGAAATACGGGAGGTCAGAAGGCAGGGTTGTCAATACCCCTCTGCAGGTTGGCCTCCTCTTCTTCTTCAAGTGTTAGGCTGTAGGGAGGCGGGGGCTCCATAGGAGGTAGGCCCATGGTAGGTTTCAGAATAACCTGCAGGGAAAAGAAGGCATTGTTTTTGTTCAGTCCTAGACCCCTGGGGTCCTGCATCATCCCATAGCCCCTGACCACCCAGGGGTGGCCACAGCCCAGATGAGGGGGTGATGCATTGCATGATGGGCCATCTCCAACCCAGAGCTGAGGGATTAGGGTAACAGAGCCTCTCCTGTTTTAACCACTTCAATAATCTGGAGAATAATAAGAAGGGACAGCCAGCCATGAGAGACCCACCTCGCTGTAGGGTGGTGGAGGCTCATTGGTGGAGACCCAGACCCTCTCTGGGGGAGCAATGGAGGGAGGATCTGGGGGATGCATGGCGGAATCCAGCTCTGGCTCTCTGCACTTGCGACAGAAGCGCTTAGCCAGGCCACAGATGCATAGAAGGGGCAGGATGACCAGGAAGATGATGATGAAGATCCTAGCATGGGAGACAGTCAACATCTGAGTGCCCAGCCCCCCACTTCCCTGTTGTGCTCCCCTCCCACATCCGTCCCCAACCCGATCAGGATGTTCACCCTGTCCTGGATGGACCAGGGACTGTGCTGGGAGGTGGGGACCCGAGGCTCACCTCAAGGGGCCGGAAAAGAACTCGTTCTCCATGCAGCAGCCTTTACTACAACATCTGAATCCACTGGGGCACCTTCTGGTTGGGGCAGAGAAAAGAGCAAGGAGAGGCTGTGGGCACACAGCAGCCAGGAACACACCCAAGCCCTCAGGGCTCAAGCCTCCCTTAGTGTGTGCATGACAGGCCATGTTCTGGCCACCTGTTCTGGCACTGGGGCCAAGATTTAGGACCTGGATTCTAGGCTTATCTCACAACTGGCCTGTGCACTTGTTCCAAGTTATTTGCTCCATACAGTACCTCATGCTCCTCATCAGTAAAATGGGTACCACGAGCATCTGCAGAGCTCACTGGGCAGGTATGGGGCTTGAGTGTTGCCATGGTTACACCCCTAAAGGAGATGTAGGAGTAACAGACAATACCAACTCTCCAGGAGCTGAGTTGAAGACAGAATTCTCTGTGTCTCCATCAGTCCCTCGGGGGCTGGGAAAGGGGCTTTGGGAATAGCCAGTGTTGACTTGATGAGGACATTTTCTGCTCCACCCCTCCTCACAGTGCTCAGGCCTCTGAGGATTTGCTCTTTAGGGTTATTGCATGCCGTCTGCCCTCAGCGCTCCTGAGGACCCGTGGGAGGAAGTGAGCAAATAGGGATTAAGTTACTGCCCTGCCACACCCCATCATGGGTGGGTGGTGAGGGAGATCCTCCCTCTCTGGTAGGAGGGGGGTGTAGTTTCTGGCTGGAATGGGAGTGAGGATGATGGGCAAGGTATCCATCCCTCACCTAGGAAGGCAGGTGGGTCATGATTGGGCACCCATCTGCCCACCCACTCCACCCCAGATCAAAAGTTACAGCCAAAAAAAATCTCAGACTTACAAGACACCGCATTTGAACTGGGGCCCAACCTGTGGAAGAAAAAGAGGCAGAGGTCAGGCAGGGCTCATGATGTTGGCCAGATTAGTCACAGCCAGGTCTCAGCCTTTCCCTTCCTCCTGCCGCCTTGTTCCCAGGTCAATGATTGGAACTCCCCCTCCTCCCCCAAGCCCTGGCCAGGGGGCTTCCTTCCTCTTCCTGCCTTCCCCGGTACATCCGCTCATCTAAAGTCTAGAAGCTCATCTTTCCTAACCAGCAGGCCAGTTCAACACTTGCAACACTTGTGGTCCAGGGACTAGTAACGTTCCTCTTCCTTTCCCTGCTCTGCTGTGCTCTGTCCTGCCTGTCACTTGGGTACTGCAGACAAGACCCTGGCTGTCATACAAATGTGATGATCAAACAACTCCCTAAAGTGGCTTCCTGGGGTACAGGCCCCCAAGAAGCGGCCTCAGCCCCTTCCTCTCCACTTTCCCTATCTCTTCCTCCTCCTCCTCCTTTTTGTTGGTCACAGGGCCTGAACTCTGGGCCTGGGCGCTGTCCCTCAGCTCTTCAGCTCAAGGCGAGTGCTCTACCACTTGAGCCCCAGCGCCACTTCCCATTTTCTGGTGGTTTATTAGAGATAAGAGTCTTGCAGACTTTTCCTGCCCTAGTCTTTGAACTGCAATCCTCATATCTCGGCCTCCTGAGTAGCTAGGATTACAGGCCTGAGCCACTGGCCCCCTGGCAAGCTCTCCCCCCACTTTTTTTTTGCCAGTCCTGGGGCTTGAACTCAGGTCCTGGGCACTGTCCCTGAGCTTCTTTTTGCTTAAGGCTAGCACTCTACCACTTGAGCCACAGTGCCACTTCCAGCTTTTTTTCTGTTTATATGGTACTGAGGACTGAGGAATCGAACCCAAGGCTTCACGCATACTAGGCAAGCACTCTACCACTAAGCCACATCCCCAGCTCTGCTCTCTTCTCTGGGGGTTCCTTAAATATCATCTCTTTTACTCCTGCCCAAGCCCCCATTCATCCTTCAGAAACTTGCCAGGGAGTCCTTGCTTTGAAAAAGAAGACCAGATGCCCCTTCTCCCTACTCAAGTCCTTTCTACCTCTCTTCCACTTCTGCACAGGCTCTGCAGGGCACCAGGGCCGTGATATTAGATAAATACTAAAAAACTCAAAACCAAAAATGTTTACACAGTTCAGTTGATGTGGAGATCTGTCAGTCATGCATTACGCTCAATTGTGTTTCTGTCATACAATGTTACTTCTCTGCCTTCATTTTGTGAAAATGTGCCATCGGAAACAGCAAATGGTGCCCCAAAAGCAGGGTAAAAATTAAAGGCTTGATTTAAGTGATAAATTAAAAATTTTAGATTTGTTGAAAAGAGGTCCCCCCCCCACCTTTGGGGATTACTCTCAGGGCCTCATCCTTTCAAGACCGGCTTCTCCTACTTAACCATATCTCGAATCCCTTTTGCTTTCTTTTCTTTTTTTTTTTTTGAATAGGGTCTTGCTTTCTATCCAGGCTGGTTTGGAGCTCCATCTTCCTATTTACACTTTCTGGGTAGCTGGGATGATGGTACTCTCCACCGATACACAGCTTTTTATTGTTTCCAATGGAGTTCTTGTAAGCTTTTCCTGGGCTAGCCTCCTGATCTCTGTCTTCTGAGTAGCTAGGATTACAGATATGAGACATTGCACCAGGTTGTAGCATGTCTTTAGCAGAAGTCAGATGGCATTATGGGAGAAATCAATCTAGCACCCACAATACAATACTGAGCTCTATGCATCCTGAGCATTCAGTTCTTCCTCAATAGTGGTCTCTTTGGAACCATATACTCATGGGTTCCATGAGTCTCCTGTATATATCCAAGCCTTTTTTTTGGGGGGGGGTCCGGTCGTGGGGCCTGAACTCTGGGCCTGGGCACTGTTCCTCAGCTCTTCAGCTCAAGTCTAGCACTCTACCACTTGAGCCACAGCGCCACTTCCGGCTTTTTTCTTTTTGCTTATGTGGTGCTGAGGAATCGAACCCAGGGCATCATGCATGCAAGGCAAGCACTCTGCCACTTAGCCACCTTCCCAGCCCCTATATCCAGGCCTTTAATTAGGATCTTCTCCCAGGTATCACCAAGGCTGGGATAGCACTTCCTTCTCCAACCACCTGACTTAAAATTACAACAACTCTCCCAAAGAGACTTTCTTCCTTATGTGTTTGATTTTTCTCCACAGGTCTTACCAATATCAAACATAGTACACATTTTATGTTATCTTGTTAAATGTCTGCTGAGCAGAATTCAGACTCCACATGGGCAAGGATTCTTCTCTGTATTTTTACACCACTGCCCCAAACCGAGTGGTCAAAATATCTGCAGAATGATTGGATGAGTATTCAATAACCACCTGATTTTTATTTCATACTGGCTGCTTTTGGACTGTGGAGAGGTATGTAAGTGCAGCGACACTGTGAGGGGCTACTGGTCACCCCATCCTGGGACAGCCAGAGCTCAGAATAGGAAGTCAGCTTGGGCATGATTCCCCTGTTTTCTTTATACATTTACTTAACAAAAATTAAAACAGGGCTGGGAAGTTGGCTCAGTGGTAGAGTGCTTGCCTTGCATGCATGAGGCCCTGGGTTCAATTCCTTAGCACCACATAAGCAGAAAAAAGCTGGAAGTGGCACTGTGGCTCAAGTAGTGGGCGCTAGCCTTGAGCTAAAGAGCTGAGAGACAGTGCCCAGGCCCAGAGTTCAGGCCCCACAACCAACAAAAATAAATAAATAAAACAGCATTTTATGGGCTAATCTCAATGATGGTAAAAAATGAGGTGATTCCTCACTTGGGGCTTGGACTTGGGTACCTCTTCACCAGCCCAGACCATTGGTGGGAGCAGGAGGAGGAAGGGATCCTATAGGGTGGCCTAAAGAGGGGGTGATCCCCCTTCCAAAAAAAACTCACACAGCACACAGAGATGACTACAGAGTTCAAGACAAACCAAGGGCTCCAGGCTCACAGCTACAGCCCTTATCCTTCACCCAGACTCTGTCCCTTCTCCCCTCTAGGATCCAACCTAAGAGGAAGTGGATAATTAACAGGTTTAATAAACTAGTCCCAGTTTCTGTTTGCAGTGGGGAGGAGCTCTTATCCCAGATTACTCTTCCACTTTTAACTAAGGTGATCTTGTCTGGGGCTGAGTTTTAAGAGACATCAGGGTAACTCTGATGGTGCTAACTGTGCCTGCCCCTGAGGCTGTCGGGAGGAATCAACAGAAGATGCTCAGCCTAGCACTAGCCCAAACCAGTCGTCCACTGACCAAGGAATGCCATGCTCTGATGAATCTGGTCCATGGATGGCTTCAGCGGAGCCCTGCCAAGTTCAGCCAACCCCCCCATGAACTCTTCTGAGAAGTAGGTGAGGGACTTCCCCAGGCTTTCAAGGAAGTAAGTTTAAAAAAAAAAAAAAAAGAAAAGAAAAAGAAAAGGCGTGTCTGGGCCCATCCCAGCTGGTAAGAGAATCTACCATCACAAGACTGGACAGCCCTCCTCAGCACTGGTAGAGCTTATGTGGGGAGGAACAGGGGCCAAGCCGCAGAGCCAGCCCGGGCCTCCCTCCACCCGGCCTCCCTCCAGGTCACTCCTTTCTCTGCGAGGCCACCCAACCTTGGGTCACAAAAACCAGGCCCACTTTTACCACACAGGGGAACTGTGCTCCCTCTCCTAGGAGGGGGTCAGGGGGCCTTCTGTTGCCTAGGACACTAGGACTGGGATACAAAGTTACCCCAGGGACAACTTAGACCCAGCTTTCTGTCCCACACAGGAAGAAGAAGCTGGAAGGCCCAGCCAAGATGAATAAGGGGGTCAAAGTCCCCATTCAAAGAAGCTCTCGGTGTCAGACAGTGATGGGTGGGGTCGGATCCCATAATGACAGTACCCCCAGAAGTGGAGGGGCCCAAGCTTTCCTAGAGCCTTTTCTAGGGCCTCTGCTGTCCCCACCTCCACCTCCCTGCCCTCCTCTCTCCCCCGCCCCCCCCAAAAAAAGAAAAGTTGCTAACTGTAGTGGTCATCCTAACACCGGAAGGTGGTGACCAGGCTCTGGGGCAGGCCCCCGCCCACAGGATAGGACCTCCAAATCTTACCTCCCAGGCGCTCACTCTTTGGAGGCTGGCCAGCAGGGTGAACAGCAGGGCAAACTCGAGGCCTGGGACCCAGGCGTCCCACATCCTGGTCTCGGGGAGCTGGGCTTCCGTGTGTGAGAAGAGGAGGGAGAGGCGGGGCCGCGACCTCTCCCACTTCTCTCCACCTATGAGACTCCCGCCTGGGGCTGGGGGCGGAGCCGGTGAGCCTGGGTTTGGGCCAGACCTAAGGGCGGGGAGGGGCACCCAGGTGGGGAGGGGGAGAGATCCGGCTTCGGCTTTGGGAACTGGGGAGACCTTAGAGATAATTAAGTTTTGAAAATTGTGGGATATAGGAAGTTGAGAGAAAGCTCGTTATGATCATAAAGTAAAAAATTTAAGAAAAATTTAAGAGTCATTGCTTTTCCAGAAAATCCGCTCTTCTGGTGTCCCAGAAGTGAGGGCCTGGCAGGGTGGGAGAGGAGGCGCACAGGGGCCTGGGTGCTGGGAGGCCCTTCTCGCGTGGGTGGAGGGGGGCTGGGAGAAGGAAGCCAAGGCCTAGGGCGGGTCATAAGGGGGTTGCATAGGGGAGGGGGGGGTCGCCCCCTTGTGCCAACCAGTGAGGGACGGGGTGACTTCTAGGTGGGAAAAGGGGTGGAGCGCAGCTGGGTACATTCTTATCCCTTCCCCTTGAGCCCCAGAGAGGAGCTGTTGGCACTAAAGGGAAATCAAGGTCCTGGGGTTGAAGACTTGTCCTCCGGGGCCGCCCTCCGTAAGGCAAGATAGGGCCCGAGCCAGCAAGTCAAGCCCACGGACCAGGATCCCAGGAAAGACCACCGTCCCCCCCCCCCCAACTTCCCTGCGGCCCCGCCCGGATTCCGACCTCCGGCCCTCGAGGCGCACACGCGGTGTTGTCCCGGTGCGACCGCCAGGTGGCAGCATCGCCCAGCGCCGACCCCGAGAGCCGCCGTCCGGCTGGAGGTGGAGAGGAGCCCGACGAGGGGGCGGAACGGAGGTGGTGGCCGCCCTGAGCCCGGGCCTGGGGACAGGAGAAGGTCGCGGGGACAGGGGCCTCCCCCCACCCCTTGGCCTCTCAGCCTTCACGCCCTGCCACGCTGTCTGCCACGCTGTCAGGCTTCCCTGGTCGCTCCCCCTTTCCCCAGATTCTGGTCTCCCAGGGGCGCCCCGTTTCCCCAATGTCTGTGTCTCTCTGTGTTTCAGTCTGCTTCTCCTGGCCCTCCCAGGCTCTTTTGTCTGGTTTTCTCTCTGCCTTCATGTCCCTCCACTGCTTCGGTACATGCAGACAGACACACAGACACAGACGACACACACAGACTTCCTCAGGGCCTCTCCTAGTCCACCTCCCTCCCCATCTCACCGCCACATTATGTTACTCCCTGGTCTCTCCCTCTTTTCTGTCTCTGTTTCTCATTATCTCTTGGCCCTTTTCAGCCCTTAAGAACAGAATATTCCAGTCCCCTGAGCCAAGTGCAACTGGGATCTGGGCCCCAGAGAATCCCCTCCATTCCTAGCTCCTGGTGACTCTGAACTTGAGAAGGGAATGGGCAGGGAAGGGCACCCCTTGCCTCCTCCCCCTGCAGTGGGCAGTGGACCTGGGCCCCCCAAGTCTCCCAAGGGGGACCTAGTTAGTTCAGCGAATGCCAGAACCTTCTCTCAATACTATGTATACTTCTACCTCTTTCATAAAATTGTTGCCAACTTGGATTTGTCAGTCCCTGTTGCAAGAGCACCCCAGCCTGAAATATAGCATGGATTCCCCTTCATTCCCCCCTTCCCCCCTACCCCCCCCCACCCCATACTACCCTGCCCAGGCAAGGAGCTCTACAGACTTGTGGCTTTAGGGAGGAGAAGAAGCTGAACTTCCTTCTGGGGGAAGAACAGGCAGTTGAATGAAATGAGCAGACTGAGAAGGGTGTGGAAGAAGGTGTGGAGGCTTGCACAGGTGAAGAGGCTCATGGAAGGCACCGGTGCCCTGAGGAGGGGCAGGAGGAAGCTGACTCAATGCTTCTGGGTCACTGGCATTCATCCACCTGACCCAGATGTAAGGCAGTTACAAGAGGATGTCTAATTCATTTTGACTTTCAGTACGTAAGCAGCAAATAGTTTTCTTTTAGTATGAGTATGTCCCAGGCAACATTTGTGATATCCCAATATGATTATCTGAAATTCAAGGTTACTAGGCATCCTATTTTCTACTTGTTCAATCTAGCATGCCTAAGATGCCTAAAATGTCACAGGCAGGCCCTTGAGCACAGCTACTTGACCCCCTGCTCCACATTTTCCCACAGAGAAAGTAAGGTCCCTGGACTCAGCTCACCAGGCAGAGGTCAAAGAACACCTATGACCTGCCTTGGAGCCCCCATTTTTTTCCATGACATCAAACTGCTTTTCTTTCTCTCTCTCTCTCTCTCTCTCTCTCTCTCTTTCTTTCTCTCTCTCTTTTCTTTTCTTTTTCCTTTCCCTTCCTTCCTCCTTCCCTTCCTCCCTCCCTTCTTCCCTCCCTCCCTCCCTTTCTTTCTTCCTTCCTTCCTTCCTTCCTTTCCTATCTTCCTTCCTTCCTTTCCCTCCCTCCCTTTCTCTGTCTCTGTCTCTCTGTCTGTCTCTGTCTCTGTCTGTCTGTCTGTCTCTCTTCATCCTGGGGCTTGAACTCTGGGCCTGGGCACTATCCCTCAGCTCTTCAGCTCAAGGTCAGCGCTCTACTACTTGAACCACAGTGACACTTCTGGTCTTCTGGTGGTTTCTTGGAGATAAGAGTCTCAGACTTTTCTGCCTGGGCTAGCTTTGAACCGTGATCCTCAGATCTCACCCTCCTGAATAGCTAGGATTACAGGCATGAGCCACCAGTGCCTGGCTTCTGGATTCTTTCTTGCAGATGCGATGGAGAGGGAACAAGGATCCTGGAGGTCGGCAGTGCCAGGGTAAGCCAAGAACACCAGGTTCGTGGCCCAGCATTCCTGGTGGGTGAAGTTGGGCTCAGAGGAACCCCGCATTGAGAAGAGAGGGGGCGGGGCTGGGAAGGTGGCTCAGTGGTAGAATGCTCGCCTTGCATGCATGAGGCCCTGGGTTCGATTCTTCAGCACCACATAAGCAGAAAAAGCCGGAAGTGGCGCTGTGGCTCAAGTGGTAGAGGGCTAGCCTTGAGCTGAAGAGCTGAGGGACAGTGCCCAGGCCCAGAGTTCAGGCCCACAACTGACAAAAAAAAAAGAGAAGAGAGGGGGCAATTCTTGTCATGGAGGATGAGGCATCCATACAGGCAGTACCTTCTCTTTCACACTTGACCTGGCTGTGGAAGAGGGGCATTTGCCTGTGTGCATGGGTGTGCTTAGGCCTACAGGGACACGGGGGCGGGGAGACCTAGAGACCTGGTGAAGTCAGCTGGTCCCTCCAGATTCCGAGCCAAATTCCATCTGGGGTTTCCCAAGAGTAGCAAAGGCGAAAGGTCATCACACACACACTTGCTTCTCCCTGGCCTGTTGGCTAAAGAATGAGACCATTGTCTCTGCATCCTTCTAGGGTCCAGCTGGAAGGCCTAGGAGGTCAGCTGGCCACCCACTCCTTCACAGAGGAGGCAGCTGGAGCCCAGAGAGCAGAAGGCCCAAGTGCACACAGGACACAAGGGTGAATCAGGACTAGAATTGCTCCAATCATGAGATCCCACACACAGTGCAGGCACGCACGCATGCACGCACACACACACACACACACAGCTCCGGTCCAGAGACCCACTGCTCCAATGGAAGAACTCATCCCTGGGGGTTGGCATTGCCCATACTGGCCTGTTCTGGCCAAGGGAGAAGACCAAGGCTGGTTAACTCAACATCTCTCTACTGGCCATACTCTGCTAACTGCAGCAGCTGATGGTGCTGGGCTGGGATTTCCTTCCACTACGGCTGCAGAATGCCTGCATGTAGCCGGCTCTGACAGTAGGGGCAGTCTTGTGTCATGTTAAATTAAATACACAGAGGTATGCTGTGTGACCTTCCACAGGAAACTGCCCTTCTCTCTGCCCTCTAAACTCATCTGAGGAAAGAGCTGCTAGCAGTTGGGTAACAGTATCTCCCTCACCACACAGCCTGACATACAGCCATGAGCAATGGCACATAAACATTTGCTAACATTTTTCATTCCTGGCAGAGAAAAGAACCCAAAGTCCCTTCTCTCCAATTCTACCTAGAAGTCGAGTAAGGAGCCCTGGGGAAAGAACAAGGTCTTGCTCTTGCCCTCCAGATAGGCTCTCCTACTCACTAGCACCCTCTATTGTCCAGTAGGTGCTCTGCACCCTACCTAAGGCCAACTCAGAGAGGGGCAAGGGATGACCTGCCCAGTACTGACCACTCCTGGGTATGGAGCTGGGACTGGAAGCTTCCAATTCCTGCTCTTCTTGCCCTTCTCTCCCTTACAGATTGGTGAGCACAGCATCCATCCCACCTCTGTCTTTCAGGCTGACATGACAGCTCACAGGGACTGAGATGTTCCCTTTCCTCCTCCTCCCTGCCACTGCCCCCAGTGTGGTACAGCCCAGCTCACCAGAGCCCACAAACCATCTTGAAGAGGCCTCGAGTCTGGTCTCTCTCTGTTGTCCTTGTTGGGGTGCATCACTTCCTTGTTCCTTAACTTTCAGAAGCTCCCCATGGCACTTGAATAAAATCCCATCTCAGGGAGCACAGGGTCCTTCATGACTCTCTCCCCTTACCCCCTTTAACCGTGTCTCTGCCCTCTTGCAATGTCCTAGAGCCCCTAAGACCCCTCCCCTCTTGCAGCTTTTCTCCTAGTCTCTGCCTGGGCAGTTTTCTTCACTAGACTCCCCTTGCCCATATCTTTCTCTGAAACCCAGCAAATTCTTACCGCCTTCTTCTTGGACTCCTGTCTTCCTGCAAGTGTGGACCTCCCTTCCCTGCTTTCTCCCACCCAGCCCTCTCCTTGGGCCTCTCTGACAGCCCTTGGCCCATCTCCCTTGAAGATGTGTAGACATGTCCCGTGTTCCCACCAGGCTGTGGGGGCTGCCAGCTCTGATTCAGCCTTTGCTCCCCCTGGAGCTTTGTTTCAAGTAAACACTGTGCTGTCATTGAGTCAAAGTTTGTTGGGGGCTTCC